GGACTTATTTTGACAATTTCGACTGTTATTGAGACTATTTAAATGGGATTTCATCCTAAATAGTGCATGTATTCCTGACATGGAGTCAATTTTAAGCAAAGATTTGCGGGTTGATAGGAGATATTTTATTACTGTGTGCTTTGACTATTGGCGAATTATATATCTATATATTTCAAGCAACATGAATCATGATTTCTCAATTTTGACCGATGCATTCGCATCGCTGGCATCGGTCTGGATCCGCCCCTGCATCCATGACAGGACTTTAGACTTCGCTAATGCTTTCTTTTCCTTTCCTTTCCCTGGGTGTAAATAGCGGAGCGCAAATAGTAGCCTACGTGCGCCGCAGGCTTAATCCCGGAGGCTTACTCTTCGCGCCATTGGCTCCGGGAATGTCAAATAAGTATAATTATTCATAAAATTATCTATATAAAATGCTTAACATCAGCTTACAACTTTACGGGATGTGCTAACTAAAGTTAAAGTTCCTACATTAAAGAATTCTCAGTCACAAGCAGCCTACAGAATAACGTGCGCTGAAAGCCATGCCAGCTATTTTGGTGAAACTGGAATGTAGAATTAAAGGACATAAACGCCGTTTGGCAAACAAGGATACGAGTAACAGTAAAGCGGTTTACCATATCACCACCAAACACCAAATGGAATGAGAAGGAGCTACCTGTTTCGAATTCACATCAAATTTTAACCAGACAATTTGTTCCTAGAAAGATGGTATACGAAAGAGCGAAAAGAATGACATTATATATAATATATGATGCCGCGATATGCCACGTACTACTTATTTAAGTTTAATTGGAAATAAACGAACGCGCGCAGAATCTCAAAGCACTGCACGCAGACACCGCGACAAAGTTATGCAGCTGACGCAAGTTGAACATAATAATAAACCGTCAAGTCTTTGAAAATACTTAGAGAAAATAAAACATTTTGTAAACATAATCTAGATGAACAATACAAATAAATAAATTGGCTTAGAACTGTTTAAATAGACGTTTTGGCTAAAATAGTTTAGCGTTCGTCTGTTACTTTCCACCTACCTGTACTATTTTTGGTGAAAAGTCAAACTTAAATACTTTAAACGGGGAAAACCAGTGTCAAATTTAGAGACCGGTCATTATTTATGCGCGGGGTGAGGTCCGAAGAGAAAGCATATATAATGGAGCCGATCAAATACATTCAAATAGATTAGCGTTTTGTATGCATATTACTCAAGTTCCAAAATTGCCCTTCATGAGCATGAGTAAGGTCATCCACTGTTAGAAAGCAAATAAGTACTACAATCTTTGCCAGAAACTATGGGACAGCTGCTGTAATTTCATATAATTTGAAAGGAATAGCGCCCCCCCGTTCCCCCAGTTCAATGTTGGTCCAACAAAAATCGGATGTCTGGATACGCGGCGCAAACATTGAAACGGGTGGGGGGGGAGAGAGGGTGGAAAATATGTATCAGGAAATGGTATATTACAACCGAATGCACGTGAAAACTAGATTGTTCCAATGTATATTGTCAAAGATTGTCTGTTGAAGTAATACCATCACTCATAATTTCTTCACCTCTTTTAGGTCCTCTGGCAATTTCGTTGCACACGTATAATTTTCTTGTACTGTGTTATACAATGTTTGCGTATGCGTGTGTTAGGAAATAGCTAAAATACGGCTGAAACATCGCGTATATTTAAAATCAGATTTAAAGGCTTGTAGTGCTACATTTTAGTCACAATTCATTGAATTCCATGCATGGTAACAGTATTGGGACTCTATTTAAAGAAAATTGACAACTGAGCCATCTTGTTAGTATAACTAAGCGCGTATATGTGACAATGATGTCAATACAGAAACGAATCTCACCACGAATCTCACCATATTTTCATGGGCTCGCACGTCATAAAATATCAAACAAATTCACCCTAGGCATCTAAAATCCAACATATTTTACAAGATAGGACATTTTACAAGTTTTCGTAAAGAACTGACTAAGATACGAATGATTTTCTAGCAACGATTCTCACTTTCTGTCATAAAATAGCCAATGAGATATAGATTTATTTACAGTTTTGTAGTGAGCTGCGTTCAAAAACGAACTTAAAAAGGGATATCTGCAAAGTTAACCGATTGTAATTAAGGAAAATGGTTTCTTGTACCCATATGCATATAAAATGTAAGATAAGTAAAATTTATAGTAACGCAAATCAGCGTTTTAGACCGAGAATCGTTAGTGAGCATCGTGTAATATGAGACGTATGAAATTTGACTACTGGCTGCGTTGTGAAGTGTTCTATAAATCTTATACTGCAAATGAAATTTAGCTTGGAAATGGCCCCAGTTCTCAAGTATAAGTTTGTAAAAGGCGAAAACAATGCATATTTATTTGTCTTTCCCGCAGTTTGATATGTTGTGAGATGAGATTCAAACCTACTCGACTCACAAACCGATTATTTCTGAATAGTTCGGTTCCAGGTTCGTCGTAATTATGGCCTTTTGCATCATTCCAAAGACAGCATGTAACTTTTGAGTAAATTTCCGCGAATTTTTCACAAGGAAGAGAGCTATGATAATACTAGACGTGCATATAAATGTGCTTATTAAGCATTATAGCTAGTAGCACACGTACCTGTATTGGTATATAAAATGTTAAAAATACACCCCGATATGAATGGATAGTACCAAAAGTTGTTTTGACTTTGGTATTGCTATCCTCGTTGCTATCGACCTCAAATATAGTTTATAGTCTGGTCAGTCTAGTGGAACACATCGAGCAGACGAGCACGACAAAGCACCAAGTACGATGTCGAAATCAAATCTTAGGATGTCGTGGTCTGGCGATTATTCATCACTACAGGAGTTCGTTGAAGACAAGTTGTGTTTAGTTGGAAAATGGTCATCTATTGGGGGCGAAAAGAAGCAGTTCGAGGGGGGAAATATTGTGATAAATTGGTGGAAAAACAAAAAATATTTGGCAATCTCCGGCGAGAAGGCAAGTGATATTGTATGTAGATTAACAACATTGTTTACCGACACTTATATATTCGACGATCATTGCACTGCCGCAGTTGATGTTGAGAATCCGATTAAGAATAACTGTTCTTGTTTGCGTGTGGAATCTACTGTTGAAACGGAATGCATGAAAAAAACCTGCAATGTTGTGGAAGCCGCAAATGCTGCAATTAACCCAAATATGACAAATATTGGCGGCCAAATATGCCATTGTAAATGTAAAGAACTGTCCACGGATTTTGAGGGTATAAAACTTGACCTAGTGGTCAATGAAAGGATTATTCTTGATAACACCTCCCGTATTAGCAAGGTCGAAGGTTTATTGGCGAGATTTCAAACCGAAAACGAAGAAATGAAACGCCAATTAAGTAGTTTTGAAGCAAAAATCACTGAGCCGTTAAATCAAACATGCATACATCAAACACTCGAGCCTCATGTTGACCTTGAAAATAATACGAGAGCCTCTAGTTCTTTACAATGTCTGGATAATATGACTGAATTAAAAGAGGCAGAAAGTTTTGTAAGTGTTGAAAACCCGCTTGAAGATGCTTCTTTCAGTGATGAGGGTCTTGGTAATAATAGCGTTATTGTATGCGAAGTTTTCACTGTTGATGACAATGAAAGATTATTAATAGAAACTGAAGAATTATCTGTTGGTCCAGATAATAAGCGTAACAAAGCCCTAGAAAATTGTTCATTATTAAAAAACCCAAGTTATTTCCATCGTTCAAAAAGCGGCTTATATAGGACAAAGGTCAAAGGCCACGGGGGTCCATCACCTAAACTACATACGCAGCAGAGTAATTTGGTACAGGGTAGAATAGCTAACAACCAACCCATTCCAACTCGAATCACTAGAAGAGAGGAACCGACGAAAGATCGACGAAAAACTAGTCTGAGGCGGAAAAAAACAAAATCTTCATGTGAGCAGGTTTTTCGTTCAGAAATCAGACGGAAAGACAAAACGAAATGGTTCAGGTTTTATTACTAGATGATTTCTTATCCCTAAACCTATATAATCATCAACAAACATTAGTAAATGGACAAACAACTAATGCAACAAATTTTAATAACCTAATTTATATTGAAACATCAATGTTCCCAGATAAATCCGAAAGTATAAGCACTCAGGATACAATGTACCTGCATAGTTCCAAGTCTCATCAGGAGCCCCTTAACAGTGTTCCCCAAAGTGGTGAACCCTTGTTTATTCTATCTAATGTAAGATCACTTCTTCCTAAGATTGATGAGTTAGAAACTATTCTGAAAGCAAGTTGTATAAACATGGCCTTTATTACAGAAACGTGGCTGAGTGAAAACATCCACGACAGCGCTGTCGAAATTGATGGTTACTCCCTTGTCAGGCGTGATAGAGTTAACAAGATAGGAGGAGGCGTGTGCGCCTTTATTAAATCATCTATTCCATTTAAATTATTACCCGAACTACAAGACAAATGTTTTGAAACCCTGTGGTTATATTTGAGACCGTATAAACTTCCTCGAGGCTTTTCATGCCTGATAGTATGTGTTATTTATCATCCACCATCCAACGATAATCATGCCCTAGTCGAACACATTACCTTAAGCCTCGATTTAGCCCTTATGAAATACCCAAATGCAGGAATTTTCCTGGTCGGTGACTTTAATAGATGTCCTGTTTCAGCGTTACTAAGACATTTCGGACTAAAACAAATTGTCAAAAAACCTACGAGGAAAAATGTTGCCCTGGATCTAATTCTTACGAATATGTCTGCCTGTTGCAACCCTGCATTGGTAACCTCTCCTATTGGACTAAGCGACCATAGCTCTGTGTTATGTACACTTAAAAGAAATCTGATAAAAAACCAGACCAATAAAGTGAAAATTCGACGTAATATATATGCCAACAAGACAGCGTTTGGAAAATGGTTAGCTGATTATAATTGGTCGACTTTGTATCGTACTGTCTCGTGTAAAGACAAGCTAGATATTTTCACGAAAGTTATCAACAGTGGTTTAGATTGTTTCTTTCCGATTAAAATTATCAAACTACATGCTAATGATAAACCCTGGGTAACGCCCGAATTCAAAGAAATCATTAAAGATAGGCAAAAAGCATATCATGACAGGAATATCCAAAAGTACAATTATTTGCGTAACCTAGCCAATAGAAAAAGGAAACAACTGAGGTCCAGCTATCTTGATAAAAAAATGGACCAGCTTAAATCTAATCCTAACCCGCAAAAGTGGTGGGATTGTTTAAAACAATTCGCAGGGTATCCGAAGAGAAAGGCAATATCGTCTATGGTCCTTGACAATGAGATTGTTGTTGGAAATGTTTTAGCAAATAAAACTAACGACTTCTTCATATCAATTACTAATGAAATTACACCTTTACAGCCAAAATCTACAGAAAGTCAGTTCGAGTTTAATGAAAGTAACATTCATCCCCAATTTATTATTGACGAAGAAAGTGTGTATAATAAATTGTCTGATATATGTGTCTCGAAATCGTCAGGTTCAGACGGCATCCCAAATTGGGTACTTAAACATTATGCTTATATCTTAGCCTTACCAATTGCCTCACTTTTTAATGCTTCGATACAGCAACAGCACGTTCCTGCAGTATGGAAAGACGCTGAAGTTATTCCAATACCAAAAATATCGGTACCTGCAGACATAACAACCGATTTGCGTCCTATTTCATTGACACCCACTTTGTCTAAAATCTGCGAATCGTTTGTATCTGATTGGTTGATTAGTTCAATCAAGAACAAAATTGATAAGAGGCAATTTGGCTCTTTGAAGAATTCCTCAACGACTCATAATTTAATTAGTTTGGTACATCACTTATTAAAGGAAACTGATGCGTCAAAGTGCTCCGTTAGAGTGTTTCTTCTTGACTTTTCTAAGGCTTTCGACCTGATAGACCACAACATTTTGTTGCATAAATTATTGGAATTGAACGTTCCCCCAACTATTTTTAATTGGATTAAAAGTTTTTTAACTGGACGGAGGCAATGTGTGAAGCTGGGTAGTTGGTCTTCGAGTTGGAAAGTTTTAAACGGAGGAGTACCGCAGGGAACTGCTTTGGGTCCTGTTCTTTTTTTGGTTATGATCAACGATCTCCTC